AGAATCACACGGTTGTGTGACTCCCTCCAGCCAGTTGGTCAATTCACACTATCTTGTTACCTGCATCCTCCCAGACAATCATTACTGGCTCTTCTGTTTTAGGCCCGCCTGTTTGATGTTGTAAACTGTTAATAAAAGGCTTTGCCATGAAGGGATCTGTGTGAGAAGGTGATGGGTTTCCAAGCCAGCATCTTCTCTCCACCCGGCACACGCTGACGTCACAAAACCCTGTCTCTGTGTTTCCTTTTAATCTTTTAAACTCACATTTTTCTGGATTAAAACCCTACATACACAATCATAAAACACTCCATATAAAAAAAAAAATAATTTTTTTTTTAGGTTCAGAAGGTTTTTGTTCAGTCTAATAATCCCCAAACTCTTTGTGGTCTACTTCAGGATAGAACAAAAAAAAAGAAAAAAAGAGAGAAGGAAACAAACGTTTGACCTACTTTTTAGGTCTGTAGTCAGGAATGCTTCTGTCAAGGGAGATGCGGTCACTCAGTTGAGCGTTATAGCCATATTCCTCGTACTTCCCCTCTGCATCGTGGCTATCCCCCCCGAGAGTGGCAGCTGCTCCCCCCTGGCCAAGGCCGCCGGGTCCCTCCACCAGCCCCATTGGCTTCGCCAGACCTTTGAGGAACCAGAAAGACAAATGTGAAGATGTGAAAGGACAACTCTCAGGAAAAACATACAGAAATGAGTAAAAATAGAGACGGACAAAGTGAGAGGCCAACAGACAGATATTTTCAAACACTGAGAGAAAACTAGTGTTTGGCAGCTCTGAGACCATCAGAGTTCATCCATTAAGTATTAATACACTATCTGTAAAGGTAAAACAACCCCCTAGATGCTATAAAAATATATACTGGCTCTAAAAAGCTGAACAGAGGGTCGTGTCAGAAAAAAAAAAAAAAAAACTAAAGTCTGCAATACTAGTACAATTAATTCTAAGTGTATCATAATCACCTTTTTTTTTATAAATGTATTTGTTTATCCAGGGTTTAATATTGTTTCCAAATCTCTTGCAAATTGGTAAAGTTTTTTCTACATCAATTTGAATCTGTTTCACTTTTGGGGTTGTTCTTCTCTACTGTAACTTATCACATTAGTTTGGTATGTATTTGAAATATGGAGTCTATTGCTTTGCCAATCAGTCAGGGTGTAGCAATATATTGATGTACACTGATTAAATTGTCATCACTCCAAATACAATTATTCAATTTTAAAACATCAATCCACACTGACATATTTAAGATACGCCCTTATTTTGAAATTCAAAAGGTATAAAATTGATGTAAATAGGTGATTTATTATTAGAATTTTTATGATTGTAATGTTTTATTTATATGTTTTGATTTGAATGCCTGATGCTTAAAAGAGCTTAGAAATAAAATTGTTAAATCATATTTTAGTTTTATTTTGTGAGTGAATACAAATGTAAATGATTTATTTAGGACAGATTATATTGCAATACATTATTCCCAGACCTATGACCTAAACTGTATGGAAATCACATCACAACAGTCTTTATGATAACGGCAGACATCATCTGAACATTTAATCATATTGTATCATGATAAAGCTGGTGGTTTGCACCACTACAGTACCAATCAGAAAGCATGAGACCCAAGAATGTGTCTCAAATATCATATAAATGTTAGGCTGAAACCTGAAATCATTCAACTCAGATTAAAAAAGAAAAAAGAAATATCACAAATGAAAAGATGAACTTCCTAGTAACATCTGAAACAATCTATTACACAAATCACTGTACTGTATATTTAAAATGTCAATCCCGACTTAGTCCAGGAACTGATACAGTGCCACCACAATTCATGTTTTTAATGAATGAAGGCGTTATTTGTTCAAAGGGTAATATGTTAATACCACAATACAGCCTGTCACATCATGAACAGCCTTATTAGTACACTAGGCAAGTAGTTAAATCAGAAGCACAAATCACTCTTCAGGGAAGGAATCTTCACTCAGCCACAGTGCAAACAAATTATTTGAGCAATATGCATGTTTTATTCTACTAATGTTATTTTATTATTATACATAACTTTGCTATACAAATATATACAAAACTTCAAGTGGTTTTGAATGGCTTAATGGCTCTGCATACCTAGAACCAGAACTAAACATGGAGAAGCAGCATTTAGTTCCTATGCTCCACT